TAGGTGAGCACTTTGGTGATAGTGACCACAATTCGGTTACGTTTACTTTAGCGATGGAAAGGGATCGGTATATACCGCAGGGCAAGTGTTATAGCTGGGGGAAAGGCAATTATGAGGCGATGAGGCAAGATTTAGGATGCATAGGATGGAGAAGGAAACTGCAGGGGCTGGACACAATTGAAATGTGGAGCTTGTTCAAGGAACAGCTACTGCGTGTCCTTGAGAAGTATGTACCTGTCAGGCTGGGAGGAAGTGGTCGAGCGAGGGAACCGTGGTTTACTAAAGAACTGGAATCTCTTGTCAAGAGGAAGAAGGAGCCTTATGTAGAGATGAGGCGTGAAGGCTCAGTTAGGGCGCTTGAGAGTTACAAGTTAGCCAGGAAGGACCTAAAGAGAGAGCTAAGAAGAGCCAGGAGGGGACATGAGAAGTCTTTAGCAGGTAGAATCAAGGAAAACCCTAAAGCTTTCTATAGGTATGTCAGGAATAAAAGAATGACTAGAGTAAGATTGGGGCCGGTCAAGGACAGTAGTGGGAAGTTGTGTGTGGAGTCCGAAGAGATAGGAGAGGTGCTAAATGAATATTTTTCGTCAGTATTCACACAGGAAAAAGACAATGTAGTCGAGGAGAATACTGAGATACAGTCTATTAGACTAGACGGGATTGAGGTTCATAAGGAGGAGGTGTTAGCAATTCTGGAAGGTGTGAAAATAGATAAGTCCCCTGGGCCGGATGGGATTTATCCTAGGATTCTCTGGGAAGCTAGAGAGGAGATTGCAGAGCCTTTGGCTTTGATCTTTATGTCGTCATTGTCTTCAGGAATAGTGCCAGAAGACTGGAGACTAGCAAATGTTGCCCCCTTGTTCAAGAAGGGGAGTAGAGACAACCCTGGTAATTATAGACCAGTGAGCCTTACTTCGGTTGTGGGTAAAGTGTTGGAAAGGATTATAAGAGATAGGATTTATAATCATCTAGAAAGGAATAATTTGATTAGGGATAGTCAACACGGTTTTGTGAAGGGTAGGTCGTGCCTCACAAACCTTATTGAGTTCTTTGAGAAGGTGACCAAACAGGTGGATGAGGATAAAGCGGTTGATGTGGTGTATATGGATTTCAGTAAAGCGTTTGATAAGGTTCCCCATGGTAGGCTATTGCAGAAAATACGGAGGCATGGGATTGAGGGTGATTTAGCGGTTTGGATCAGAAATTGGCTAGCTGTAAGAAGACAGAGGGTGGTGGTTGATGGGAAATGTTCATCTTGGAGTTCAGTTACTAGTGGTGTACCTCAAGGATCTGTTTTGGGGCCACTGCTGTTTGTCATTTTTATAAATGACCTGGATGAGGGTGTAGAAGGATGGGTTAGTAAATTTGCAGATGACACCAAAGTTGGTGGAGTTGTGGATAGTGCGGAAGGATGTTGCAGGTTTCAGAGGGACATAGATAAGCTGCAGAGCTGGGCTGAGAGGTGGCAAATGGAGTTTAATGCGGAAAAGTGTGAGGTGATTCACTTTGGAAGGAGTAACAGGAATACAGAGTACTGGGCTAATGGTAAGATTCTTGGTAGTGTGGATGAGCAGAAAGATCTCAGTGTCCATGTGCATAGATCACTGAAAGTTGCCACCCAGGTTGATAGCGTTGTTAAGAAGGCGTACAGTATGTTAGGTTTCATTGGTAGAGGGATTGAGTTTCGGAGCCATGAGGTCATGTTGCAGCTGTACAAAACTCTGGTGCGGCCGCACTTGGAGTATTACGTACAGTTCTGGTCACCGCATTTAGGAAGAATGTGGAAGCATTGGAAAGGGTGCAGAGGAGATTTACCAGGATGTTGCCTGGTATGGAGGGAAGATCTTATGAGGAAAGGCTGAGGGTCTTGAGGCTGTTTTCGTTAGAAGAAGGTTAAGGGGTGACTTGATAGAGACATACAAGATGATCAGAGGATTAGATAGGGTGGACAGTGGGAGCCTTTTTCCTTGGATGGTGATGGCTAGCACGAGGGGACATAGCTTTAAATTGAGGGGTGATAGATATAGGACAGATGTCAGAGGTAGGTTCTTTACTCAGAGAGTAGTAAGGGCGTGGAATGCCCTGCCTGCAAAAATATTAGACTCGCCAACGTTAAGGGCATTTAAATGGTCATTGGATAAACATATGGATGATAATGGAATAGTTTAGGTTAGATGGGCTTCAGATTTGTTTCACAGGTCGGCGCAACATCAAGGGCCGAAGGGCCTGTACTGGGCTGTAATGTTCTATGTTGTAAGACCACTGAACAGATTTTCCAATATTTTTTCCCCTCTACCAATAATCTTTTTTACCTATTTGTTTGTTTGTGGGGGGCGGGGGGGTGCTGTTTTAGGAAATTACAGGGGGATTAGTTAGTAATGTTAGTTCAAATGGTTTATTTCTGTTCTTTGTACCTATAGTCTAATTAGGTGTCAAGAATTATTTATTCTAAGCACAGAAGCATGGTCCATGCTTTTTATCAATCTTGGTCTGAGAGTCAGATAAATTGGGATATTGTGCAAACTCTTTCAAAAAGAAAATTAATATTTGGTATGACTTCAAAAACAGGTGGGCTCAATTTACAGCACATTACCGCAGTGGTCACTAGCACTGCAAGAAACAGTACTAGGTCTATAGCTGTTAACTAACTACATAAATGACTTGGATGTGGGAAACCAATTGTAATATTTCCAAATCGACTGGTGCCAAACTGGGTGGGAACATAAGTTGTTAGGACAGTGCAAAAAGGGTCTCAGAGAATTTGGACAAGTTAACTGAATGGATTAGAACATGACAGCTGGAATATAATGCAAATAAGATTTTTTTTTCAATTTGGTAATAAAACAATCTAAGGCAGAATAATTCTTAAATGCGAAGAGATTGGGCATGCAGATGTTCAAAAGGATCAGAGTGTCCTTATCCATGAGTTACTAAAAACTAGCATGTAGTTTTTGCAATTTTACAAGGGATTTGACTACACAAGATGGCTAACTGCAGAGATTTGGTGAGACATCACATTGAGTATTGTGTACAGTTTTACTCTCCTTGTTTGAGGAAGGATATACTTGCCATTAAAAAGAGTGCAGAGGGCTATGGGATTTACCTTTGGAATAGTATTTGTTTTATTACGAGAGATGAAAGAAGCTGGGTCATTGTTTTCTATTTCATTATATTCTTAATGTGTGACAGGGTAGATATAGATGGGATGTTTCCCCTGATTTATGATTTTAGAACCAGGAGACAATCTCCAGATAAGGACAAGACCATTTAAGATTGAAGAGTAGGAGGTACTCCTTCCTTCCGAAGTTGAGAAATCTTTCAAATTCTTTGTCCCAGAGGGCTGTGAATGTGCAATCATTGAGTAGGTTCAACCAGAAATGACTTTAGTGGATCATAGAAATAATGTGGGAAAGTAGTAGTGTGATGAACATTATCAATGCTATTGAATGGCAGGGCAGACTCTATGGGTTGAAAGCTTACTCTTGTTCTTGTATTTAATGCTACACAGGTACTGCACCCGGGCAGACATGGATCTACAGTTGTCTTTTCTTCCCTTCAGTTCAACTATAATTGATTCCCTTAACAAACAGAAAAGATGATTTTATAGGTCTGTATAACATTTGAATGTGTAAACATGCTCATAAGATATAGCCAAAGCCACCCCATCTGGTTATGTGAGCAGATGCAGTAAGTTACTTACATTGTATTATTTTTAAAAGCCTTTTGTTAATAACCATCTGAAGAGTTCAGGCAGAAAATCAAAATTTTCATTTGCTTCTATCTAAATTGCCTAACTCCATATAAAAAGAAACACATACATGGCAATATATTTATTTATATATGTGGTTTAAGCACTTCAGTCTTGCTCTTGTTAAAATTTAAGACCACCCAAGGATCTAACCTCTACCTAAAAGGAAGAAAACCATAGAAAATAGTTTATTTTCCTGTAATACTATCTCTAACACACTAATAATAGACTTGGTTGAATTTAAGAGAATATTTAAAACTAATTCATGTTAAGTTCAAATTTGTTATAGTGACACATTCCTACCCAAATTATACAGATGTTGGAGATTAAAGGGACTCAAAGATGCATACTGTCCTGACCCACAAAGTGGGAATTGCCTAGGAAGTTTAAATTTCCAATGGCCAATTACCCTGTGCCTGGAATCCTCATAAGTTTCCAATTCTGATTTGAGTTGGACACTTTAGGATTTCCAGTCACTTACCTGTGTATTTACCCAGAAAAGGTCAAGAACTTAAACCAGCTCCAGCTCCTTGGTAACTATAAAACTTAGCTCCACCGCAAACCAACAGACCTTCCCAATCACTTCGTGACACACCTCCAATAAACCATACCACTTGACTCACACACTACCCCTTCACTCACTGACTTAATGAACTTACCTTCTCAACAGAGGCTTCGTTAGTGGAATACAACAGATGGTGCTGTAAAAAAGGGGAAATGAACCTTACAAAGGTTCAGTCTGATGCTCTGTGTGGTTAGCTGCATTCTGATGGGGTGGATCCTGCACTGGAGGCCAGGCCAAAAGAAAGACGGCAAGAAGCTAGGTAGCTATCTCAGACAAAGTGATTCTGACCCAGAATGGATGATTGTAGCCAATTATCTCGTTATTTTTCTTGTTGTGCACACTTTTCTCTGTAGATCTTAAATTTTAAAAAAAACTTGAGGCCAAGAAAGACACTAGACAAAAGCAAATTATTTTCTAATGACTGTTTTAAAAAAAATTGATTTATGAAATGGGAATGTCACTGTCTAGGTGAAAGCCAACCCAAAGCACCAGTTAGCCCTTTCCTTTTAGGTTGATATTTTGTACAGCCTACTGGTATCCCAGTCAGTATTCATCTATCTAGATGGAATACCACAAGGGTTTACCTCATATTCATAGTAACTTCCATTGCAAAGTGATAGTCAAAGAGAATAAAAAGCTGATATCCCACAACAACTGTAGCCAAACAGCTGCTTTGATGTAATTTTATTTAGTCTATTGCGTTGGGAAATACATGATACTTGCACCTTATTAAATACAAGTTACAAAATAAAACAGCCACAACTATTTGCTACAAAACACATTTACTGTAATTTTAAACAAAGATTAATTGTATTTATTACACAACAAAATACAATGTGATCCATCATATCAAAACAGAAACAAAAAGCTTCATAGAACTGTATCTAAAGAACCAAATCTTACAAAAACAAATCTATCGTACAAAAGTATGTGGTGCTTATTTTAGTGTGTATGTCCATAAAACAACCCGAACACATTGCGAGGACAGTAAAAGTAAACCACATGGGTTAAACTAGAAGGGAGCAAGTTCCATTCCCTGACAAATGTCAATGGGCAGATTAATGTATATTACCATTAAATTGCATTTGGTTTGTTTTACCTGGTACTAACCCATAACTTTCAAAATTTGAATTCAATTTCTATTCCTGTACTAAAACCAATGTATCCAAACATAAAAGGAAAGGAGCAGGAATCAACCATAAGGCCCGGTGAGTCTGCTCCATCATTCAATAGGATCATGGGTTATATCTGACTTCAACTCTTCTTTTTTACCTGCTCTCCTGTATTCCTGGGTTCCCTGAGATACCAAAAAAAATCTAAGCCTTAAATGTATTCAACAATGGAAATGCACAATCCTGTGGTGTTAGAGAATTACAAAGATTCACGTCTCTTCATGGTGAAGTTTTTATTTTCTCATCTCAGTCCTAAATAATCTACCTCTTCTCCTGAGAGTGTGCATGTTTTTGTTTTGCTGACCAGTGGACACAATCGGTCAGCATCCAGCCTATCAAATCCAATAAAATCCACACTTTTTTTTTCCCCTCTGAATTGGAGAAAATAAGACTAAATTTGCTCATCTTCTTGTCATAGGACAAAGTCCTCATCCCAGTAGCCAATCTAGTGAAGCTTTGCTGTACCAGCTCCTCCTTTGCAAGATTTATGAAAATCCTCATTTAGACAGAAAGAGCGCACAACACTGCACAGAGTATTCCAATGTGCTTTCATCAAAGCCCAGTTCACTAGTGGGAAGACTCTTATTGTTGTACTTCAATCCCCTTGCAAATAAGGGCCAACATACCACTTGCTCTCCTATTTTCTTGTATAAGTACACAAGTCTCTGAACATCAGCATTTACAATTTTCACATCTTTCAAAAAATATATTCCACTTGGTTATTCTTGCATGGCAAGTCAGTAACTTCACATATCCACAATAGACTTCATCTGCCAGCTTGCCACCCACTCGATTAACTTGTCTATAGCTAATTGTAGCCTGTGTCCTCCTTCAGTAAATAGCTGAGACACCAACAGTTATACTTGTGGCACTTCAAGTCATGGCGTACAATATGAAAATGTCCTGTTTTGGGTCCATTAAAGAATCCTCTATCCTAGTTAATATCTTATCAGTTCTGTGAGCCCTTATCTTGCCATTAATCTTTTCTGGGACACCTTATTGAAACCTTTTTAGAAATCCAGGTATACTACATAGAAGGTTGTCCATCATCCATTCAATTCGTTATAACTTCAAAAAGCTAGTAAATCTGTCAAACAGGATTTCCCTTTCAAGCATGTTGACTTGTTCTAATGGAAGTTAAGACTCTCATTTTCCAACAACTCACGTACCATGTTCCCAGTTTTCCTTTCTTTCTTGAAACAGAGTTACATTTGTGAACTTCCTACCTTAATTTGCTCATTTTACAATACCTGGCAATATTAGTGAATGGCAGTTCATAAAGGTACATTTAACAGACTTTTGTAAAACCATTTCTTCATGGATCAGTTTTAACCAGTTTTAATCTCTTGAAATTCCTCCAGTGAAGTATGTGATAAGTGAAATAAAAAGGACATGAAGATTAGAAAAGTCATGCACCACAGTCTCAGACTTTACAAATACATTTACTAGGATTTCTGCATGTTTCAAAACTAATCTTGTGCCGGTGATGACGCAGCCAAGATAAAAAGGTAAAAAGTTGAGCTTTAAGATATATTTTTACAATTCATAGTTTATGACTCATAAATGAGATAGCTAAACAAAAATCAATGTCACTTTTTTTAGTGTTACATAGCTTCCGTTTTAAAAATAACTTTTAAGTGAAATACCAAAGAAAAAGGTTTGAAACTTAATCCTAAAACCATTAAAATTTCATTTTTTGTATAGACAGGTTTCAGTCCTTTCCGCTTCCAAATCTACTCCCTTTGGAGAAAGGCCACAACATTCCACAGTAAAAGTTTTAATAAATTCTCAGTACACAGGTTAGTTAGAAATGCAAGAAAGAAAACATCTTCACATTCTGTACTCATTGAATGCCATAACAAATCATCTGAAAAAGAAAGAAGACTTAATTTGGAAATTATAGACAATGAAATATACAATATATTTTAAAACATGTAATAAGCTGTTATGTAAAATGTGAGAACAGGCCTGCAGCGCATCTTCTACACTTGATGAAGGTGGTTCCTAATGCAAACTACATATATTTTGCAATGAACATTACATCCAGGTTCAAACTGCCATTCTGCCGCACTTGGGTTGCATGTTGCATAGCGAAATGTAAACAAAAATCCATAATGGAGTGTTTAAGACATAGCAATTAACTTGAAGTCTCAACCTCTTTCAGATAAAACGCGCTTTGCATTCATGTTGTTTAGAATTGTTTTACTGAATTCGATTCTTTCAAGCTTTAAAAACTTAGCTATTTCATATTTACACTAATATAGCACTGAAAAAAAATCAGCTTAGATTAAGTGCTCAAGTGTATTATGGAGTATTGCTAACATTGAGGCAAAGCTAATATCTAAATTGTACCAGTATTTTATCACGAACATTAAGACCCTCCATCAAGGGATGAAAAAAAATTCCAAAAATTATGTAGAATTATATAAGCAAGTGACAAATTTGAGGTAAGTATAATTTTACGTGAAATATAAAATTGATCATAATCTAAACGAGTAAGCCATAAACTTCAAAGCACAAAACAATGAAACTTGCAGTAAAATTAACGTTAAGTAGTGTATTGTGAAAAAGTCCAGTAAAATCTGTACTACTTCAAACTTAGCAAAATCAAAATGAAATCTGTGTAGATTTAGTCCAGCAAGGTGGAATGACAAAGCTCCCAACATGCATGCTAGTTCTAAATGGAAATGAACCTAAAAAGCAAAGCTATGCCTAATTTTCAGAGAGTCTGCAAGTTAACAACCACGGAAAGTCAAAAACTTGAGTTATGTTTTTGTAACAAAGGTATACTAACCCTCATTTCCTTCCCATCAGTTTGTGGCCTTTGACAAGGCAACCACAGCTTCTTCTGATATCTCACCAGTGGTTGTTCAGCTAAGTGAAACAATGCTCATATAAATCCATTCTTAATCTATTCAACTGTAGCCAAAGAATCACCTACATTGGCTTCCCTTTCCACTCCTGCATCATTTTCTCTGGTCCCCAAAGAGATTGCTGGCCTCCTATTTCTCAACTACATGTTGTCCCTTCGCATCAAAAAAAAGCACCAGTTTCCACATGCCCAATAATATTCAACTCTACCTTCCCACTACTTCTTGACGCCCATTGTCTCATTTGTCGTGCTGATTGTCCAACACCAAGCAGAAATTTCCTTTCACTCAACGCAAGGTTGAAGATCACAAACCCATTTGCTAGCCACCAACTCCACCTCTCTCACTAGCCACTGTCTTAGGCGGAACAATACTATTCACGAACTGTATTTCACCTCTAACCATGTGTGTGTAGCTTCACTAAAACACTTATTTCCATCTCCAATACCATGCCTGCTGCCATACCTGCTTCAGCTCATTTACTGCTGGAACTTCACGGCTTTTTGTTAGCTGTGACTTTGACTATTTTAAACATATAGAGTGGTCTCATTTAAAACTGAAGTATTAGTTCTCATCTGAATCAAATGTTAAAAATGAAGTTGGGTTAACTTGTTGTAAAAGATTTACAATTATTCACATGCCCAGGACATCTACTGTATTACCTCTTTCTGAAAATAAACTAACCTCCATATACTGGGTCCTCTTCACACCAAGATGAGCAACACAAGTCTGTAATGCTAAACCTAAATAAGATATTAACCCAGAAAATAAGTACCAAATACAAAAACAAAAAAGTTAGTAAGCAGCACTAATTGCCAGGTTAAAACTGGGACAGTTTGGAACTCAATTTGTTGAAGTTGAGCATAATAATATCACTCACTGGTCTACCGAGAATATAATTACTCTTGGTATCGTATTTTTAACTCAGCTTGCTCCTTTTAATAAATTTCAAGCTGCAGGATCAAATACATACTTCTACCAATACCTTTGATAAATGTAATGACATATGTTTCACATAGATTGTTCATTCTCCAATTACATTTAAAACTGTTTCAGAGATAGTAGGAACTGCAGATGCTGGAGAATCTGAGATAACAAGGTGTAGAGCTAGATGAACACAGCAGGCCAAGCAGCGTCAGAGGAGCCGGAAAGCTGACGTTTCAGGCCTAGACCCATTTCTGAAGAAGGGTCTAGGACCGAAACATCAGCTTTCCTGCTCCTCTGATGTTGCCTGGCCTGCTGTGTTCATTCAGCTCTACACCTTGTTATCTTACATTTAAAACTTCTGTTTTCTATAATGAAAATGGCATGTACAATGAAAAATTAGCAAGTGAAGGGGTTTTGGATATATTTTTATGTACTATCACAAATATATACATATGCTTGTAATTTATTTAAAAAGCTTAATCAACATTGTTCATGTTTATGCAATTCGGAGGAAAGCAAAACAATAATTCACTGCTTGAAACTTAACCTTGCTTCCTAAAGCTTTGTGTGCCTTAACAAAAACTAGTGCCAAAGTTGCACCCTTTCCTTTCTTTTTGAAAAAAAAACAACAATCCCCAGAAATCCAGTCAGTCATTTAAATGTAAAATTATGTGTCTACAGTACTTCAAAAGGACATTATCTACTTTGTAATCACATTTTGCTTAAATGAGCATATTCTGCTTCTTTGCAATTAAATGAGACCAAAAGAATTATGCAGGCAACATGAAATCCACTGAAAAAATGACTGCATGCAGGAACAGGACACAAGGTAGACTTGCAGTAGTAGAGAACTCATTAGTAGATTGAGCGTGGGTTGCAGACCATTAGGTTGAGTGTTATAATTGCCTTAATGTCTGAGCCTCTTGTAGTGCAGTGGTATGCCCCTACGTCTGGGCCAGGAGATCCAGGTTCAAGTCCCACCTGCTCCAGAGGTGTGCAATAATGTCACAGGACAGGTTGATTAGAAAATATATACAAGTGCCTTAAAACACCTCAGCAAACAGCATGTGTGTCTTTAATTGTTCACAACAGGCAGTCTGACCACATCAATCAGACAGTGTTTGCAAAGCTCAGAACATGGTGCCCAATATTAGTTATAATTCCATGACTGATCAGCACTACTAAAAAATCCTGAGTGTGCTAGGATCAAAATAATTACCAATGTATTACTGGGTTCACACTAAGCCTCATGCTTACACAATGTGGAAGCTACACATTACCAGTAGGGCTTCATCTTTTGGAAACGGAATTGCTCATTAACTTCTACGCATTACACCTCTTTCTTTCACGAAAAAAAGTTTGGGCAGGACATTCCCTACTGCATTCGTCACAAAGCCTTGACTAGAGTTGCCTTGCCTAGTTGGAATTTAAACTAAAGTTTGGGGTTAAATACTCTGATATATTCTTCATAGCAGAATTCACTTCAGCACCAGTTCTCATACAGTTTAGTTTGCTCCCTTTGAAATTTGGTATTTTTGCATTTCTGTCCTACTGGGTGCAAGACAAAAAGCTGCGAAAGCTTATGCCTTTTTCAGCAACACTCAACTAGACTCATATCATTAACTAAATTGGTTTGTGTGTGCAAACAGAAAAGAGATTCCAAAGTGATTCAAGTAAAGTAACAAATTGCTTCTCACATACAGTTCCATAAAACTCTCAGTAATTTAAACCTACTGATGAAACATTACCTTTTTACAACATTACTTGAAGTGGCTTTCTCAGGCTGAGACTTAATTTGGCTCGCTGAAGCACATACAGTAGAATTCAGATGCTTAGTTGAAGTAACTAAAAGAAACAGGAAAGTAATCTACCATAAGATGGAGTAAAATGACTGCAGCCTCAAATACAGCAGAAGCATAATCAAGATAAGAAACAACAGTGTTTTCTCCTCCCTTCTCAAATAAGGCATAATGTTTATTGCTCCACAGGACATTCCATACTTTAAGCATTAAATTTTAATATATCATTTTCATTGGAAAGTTAATCCAGAAGTTGAGAAAATCCCTACATAAATAGATAAACTGCTGAGGAAGAAATTCTTATGCCGCAAATCGCTAGACAGGTCTACCTCTTTCAGTTTTACAATTGCATTGTTTTTTTAGGAAAAACAGAAATGTCTCACATAAAAAAACCTCTTACCTGTGGTTTTGAGTGGTCTTTCTGATCCTTTCCCTTTAAGCACAGCTGAACTGGCTCTTTCGTTTTTATTCCCAGTGCGAATAGATGAGACAGATCCAGGTCTCAATCTGTTTCCAGGAGGAATCTTGCTTGGTGGTTGTATTTGACTGATCTCCTTGCTAGAAGCTTTGTTAGCACTTGAAAGTAGCTTACTGTTGGCATCAGCAGAGTGTTTAAAAGAGATCGATGAACTATGCATCTTGGTCTCTGATATCATTGGGGCTTTCTCTTTACTTTGTTTGCTGTGCAAAATGGTACTCTTTCCAGAACGATTTTCTGGATTGTTTAATGATGCACCTATGACGATAGTCAAAAAATTTTATATTTCCTTCCCTCCTCCATTTGCCTAAGTGTAAATCAGTCAGCAAGCATTTACAATTAACTTCAATTTTAAAGCCTTTTGCTACCACACAACAGATAAGTTACTGTAAAAATCAAGGCAACCAATCAACAAAAGGAACTGATATATGCAATGAATGAATGAATCCAAAATGACTAAATACTGTTAACCATTTTCTGGGTCTGCTTAAAAACCATGTTGCCATGAATAGCAGCTATTTTAGCTGAGTAACATAGGTTTAATCGTGTTTTGTGTACATGCGATGTAAATAACTATAACATCTTTAAGGACACTTACCTCTGGTTTGCTTTAGATGCCCTGTAGAGGACAAGGGTGCATGCACTGAATCCTTTTTAGGATATTGGTAGGGTTTGGACGGAGATAGCGAATGCATATTTCCTTTCCTGTTAAAACCAGATGGAAGTTTCAAACCAGATGGTTTGGACAGCATTGATTGCTACAAAAAGAAGAAAAAAATACCAACAAATGGTAATAGTGTAAACGTTTAGTTGGTAGTAGCTTGGAAAAATGAACAAAGCAAAACTATTTTCCTACCGGAAAGCAGAGTATGATTTTGGTAAAAGATATGGCAACTGCAGTGGTTATTATTTTAGCAATTCTACTATCGTTAAATGCAAAAATTGTATTTCTGTATACCTAATATGTTCAAAACTAAGTGAAATATAGCACCTTCTTAACAGCTGCTTGCTTGATTTCTGTAGATAGGTTACCTTCCTTTGTTTGCATTGGTTTGTTGGTGGTTATTCGTTCAGACTCACTGGTCAAACCTATTCTGGAGTTGCTGATTTCATGTTCAATGGGATGTACATGTCCGGTGTTAGCGATTGGGCTGTTTTCATTTATAACCTGAAGATTCACAGAAGGAAGAAGAGCCTTATTTGGGCTATCCAACACAAAAAATGTATCTCTCCTTGGACTTCGAGGACTTTTTTTACACGTTCTGTTATCTTGTAGAAGTCTGATTTTGGCTTTGGATTCTTTTTCCAATTTTGATCGGTCATTGCCACTTCTGTCCTCTCTTCCCTGTATTTTTGCATTTTCCTTCTCCTTCAAAGCACATTTTTCAAATTGATTTGCCAGACGATTTGCTTCCTTTACTATTTCTACGAGTTTTTCTGCACTTAGTGGACTCCACTTCAGCACGGCTTCATTTGTTTTCTGCTGATTTCCATTATTACAGTTCACATCAATTCCCATAGCAACACACCTCTCAGAATGCCTGATTGGAGCAATTAAAACTTCTTCAGGGTCAGTTTCAAGCAATGATTCTTGGCTGTATGAGCAGAAAAATATGAATTAAATTATGGATTGAACCAAAGCACTATGCGCAATTTACTTGATCAATAACTGACAAATTCTCCAAACCCATTAGAAAAATACCCTATGTATATACAGGTTTATGAAATCACAACGGGCATAGAGAAGGTGAATAGTAAAGGTAATTTCCTTAGGGTGGGGAAGTTCAAAACTAGGAGGCATATTTTTAGAAAGAAGAAAGATTTAAAAGGGACCCGAGGGGCAACATTTTCACACAGAGGGTGGTTCAAATGTGGAATGAAATGCCAGAGGAAGTGGCAGATGCAGTTACAACATTTAAAAGTCATTTGGATAGGTACATGCAAAGGAAAGAGGGATATGGGCCAAACGCAGGCAAGTGGGACTAGTTTAGTTTCGGAAATTTGGTTGGCATGGACGAATTGAACCGAAGAGTCTGTTTTTGTGCTGTATGACTCTATAACCTAGAATACATTACATAAGGAAGTTTGAATAGACAAAACAAAAACTAAGTACCAGACATATAAAACAAAAATAAACTAAGTTGAACTACAGTGCTAAGTGTCTTGGAGTGTCAGAAAGATGTTAATGCTTCAAGTATGTAATAGCAAAAGATACCCCAAACATTAATAATAGTTGATTATTCATGAAATGAACAATAGGACAACACAAAACATAAGCAGGCTTTCTATGGCACTGCTTAGTTGCACTTAATACAACAGGTCAATGCATGGCACTTTCGGAAAAAGGTGTAAGCTATAGACAAGATGTGCAATTACAAACTTTAAAAAAAAAAGGTATGTGCTGTTTCAAATGCTGATAATTAAAACATGCTCCCAAAACTTTCTTCACCACTAAACTGGCAAAAAGTACATTTCCAAAGTGACAAGCACTACAACAATACACAATATAACAAATCAGTAAGCTTTTACCTTTCAGTTGGGAAACCAATTCCAAAATCAAATGTTTCTTCAGTTATGAAGTTAGCATCTAGCAGGAAAAGAAAATATTTTAAATTTTGTTTCAAATTACTGTACAAAAATGTCATAATTTAAATGCTAAACTTCAAGATTTACAAATCAAAAGATAATCCACCGTGAAGCATTTTGGTATTTCATTGTAAAAATGCATAAACATTATTGCTTCAGACTCAAAACAACAAGCAGGTGAGCTTGCATTTATACTTTCTGACGTCCTCAAGATGTCACAAGGCAGCTTGCAGACCAAGGTTTAAAATGCAAAGTGCAGTTGCTGTTCTTACACAGGCAGTAGTACACAGCAAGGCTCCAATAAAAGCAAATGCATTAACAAGATAATCAGTTAACTAACCACAAATAAAGGAGGAGGAGTGGGGGGGGAATACAAGAAAAATGGGTATTGCTAGCAAGACTTGTATTTATTACCCATTCTCATGAAAAGGTCATTTTCTTGGATCACTGCAACTGACATAGCGAAAATACACCCAACATCATTCCTAGTACATACTTTGAAAGTTACAAAAACTCCACACTTAATAGCTGTGCTGCTTGATTGAGTAACAGAATAAAGGTAAATAAAAGACCCAAAGAACATAAATAGAACCAATTACATATCAGGAAGAAAGAAGATTAATGAAATTATAAACAGACATGATGGGGTATTTCTGTAACTGATTAGTACCATGAGCATACTAAACTTTTAAATAACAAATGGTAAAGATTAAGGCAAATTAAACATGCATAAGATTACATCAACTCTGCGTTCGTGTTGCCTCACCCACAAGTTATACAAAATAACACAGAATAGCACCTAAAAGGTATGTTTTTCCAATAACTGCAAGACACACAAAAAAAAATGAAACAAGGACATAAAGCAGTGCTATTTAAGAAGGACCAAAAAGGAAGAAAGGGAAATACAGAGGCAGAGCTGCTTCAGGAAGGTATACCAGAAAACAGGTTTTGGACTGATGCTACAGTGCTGAAAAGACCACAGTTTGTTGAACAAGCATGCCATGTTGCAGAGATGGGCAGTGGGGTTTAAAGGTGGTTCTTTTGTTCTAATTTGTTGATGTGCACTTGCCTATAGGAGCACACAGGATAGTTCAGCCATAGCCTTTTGTAACTTGCAACTCACTAAGCAAACAGTAAAAGAAATGTCTTAACTGGGCCTTTACCTTAAGCAGAGAAAATATTAACATTCATGCTCACCGTGGAGAACATACATGAGAAGTTGCAGAGGTTACACAGATTGGTAGATTTGCTAAGCTTGGATCTAAAGGAAGAAGCTATTGTAACAATTGTTGTGAAAACAAGCAGCAAGTTTGAAGGTCTTGGATGTTAGAGCTTTAAACAGATAAGCTAGTTTGTAAGCCCAGGAAAGGGATTTGCTACGAGATGTGGAATATCCATTGACCAAAAATAAAGCTATTAGAAACAAGGAGTTCCTAGTTTTCTGTTAAACCATTGTGCAGAAACTGCAAGGAAAGCTCAGGCTAGAGTTGCCAAGTCCCAAACTTTACAAGACAGTCATGAAAATATTTGGAGTTGGTCCAAAGAAAGTGGATAAGCTTTAATACCTGACAAGTAGCCAAAGATTTTCTCTGTTATTCAGTTTCAACTCTTCACCCACAAAAAAAAGACAAGTTCAGTTAAGGATTTTAGTCCAAAGCATTTGTGTTAATCTTTTATTGGGCTTTTCAATGTAAAGTATAAGTTATTATCCAAAACTGTTTATTTCATAGTTTGCTTTACTAGATGCTTACATAATAAAATTTGTTTGTTTTAAAACTTAATTCGGTGGCTTCATCCTTTTAGTAAATGACTTCCAATTTCTCTTTAAATGGAGAATATAAGAACAGAAATTAAATTATTCTATGAGCTGAATTTTATTGTGTACTAGAGAATAAGGTCAGACAGGAGAAGACTGGATTTGTTGAAATATTAAAATGAGAAAGGTACAGGTGAATGCATCATTGCCAGACGAGCTGTGACATAGATGGAGTTAGTATTATGGAGGTAGAGATGTTCTTTTGTAATGACTAGTAAAGAGATTGGAGATTCAGCTCAGAATTGAAGAGATTTCTGCAATCAAAATTGTTCTGGTCCAATATAGATAGTAAAAATGCATCAAGTGCTCCAATTACCGTCATCAGTTGTCAAATTCATTGTCTTCAAATTGCAAGTTTCCAGTTAACTCAACAGATGTTTTTTTTCTGATAAAAGACAAAATCTGTTAGACCAATCTCAATGTAAATTAAACCAAAGTTTATGAAAAATAACATCTGAACCATTCATCCCAGTCATCGTAAAATTATTTTTATAAGATTTCATTTCCTAAAAATAGAGATCTGAAAATAAATTCGGCAAATGTTAAACATAAAGACACTAAACAGACACAAAAAAGATTTTTCCATTCTATTTGGAGTCCTACTTCCCCCAACTAATTCAAGCCATTGCAAGTTCAAAGCTATTATTCAACTAGCAATTTTGCCTCCAAGGTATAACATATTGTCAAATCTAAATTCACAGTAGAAGAATGGCAATTTCACATTCATTTTCAAACCATATTTTCAGTATTAAGTCATGATAAAGTTAGTTTGAGGGTTTGTATCCACAAGTTTGTGCTAAGTGGAGCTTTGAGATTACTGAGGAAGCCCCATGTAACCAGATTAGCCTACAAATATGCTCTGTCAAAACAAAAGGAAAACAGCAACACAGTACATAGGTGAAAAATGTCTTTATTCTTCAATTTGGTCATACCTTGCAATGGTCTGACTTTGTACCGTAAAAGACAGAGTTACCTCTGGAAAAACCCAGCAACTTTAACCAAGTAAAGTGCTGTCTTCAGCCAAGCGTGATACAATCCACCATGTTGTCAATGAAGTTAAACATGTCTTCTGTGTTTTTGTGCTGCAAATGAAATCTTGCTGTATTTCTGCAGCCGTTGCAACTTCAGGTAGAGAGACCGATGGGTGAGCATTCATCAGACCTTCAGGGTCATCTGGCTCCTCAGTTGAAGAATGCATGAAATCTACCACCACCTTGTCTGCCAGATCCTTTGTGCAACATACAGTATCATCCATTTGGTGCGTCTGTTGGAATTTTTGTGCCATCCTTCTACAGGTGAAGGAAAAAAAAGGGCTTCATCAACAAATTGGTTGGCCCCATCCTTGCCCCTGCATTCCTTGGCATCTTGAACAGTTGCAGCCTGTTTGAACTCAACATGGTTGGAGCAGTTGGCAATGTTGCCTTTTGTTACCATCTTCCATGCAAGTAGCCTCTAACAGGAGTGCAAATATTCCAGAAGCTATCAATAAAGATGCAAGATCAGCTGCCATCAATAGTTGATTTTTAGGAATCTAATCATCCCCGATCTATTGTCTGGTGTTGAAAGGCAAAAGCATCAGCTTGACTTGAGGCCAGTGATGTCACAGTGCATGAGGCAGTTGTCTGTAAAGGTAATTTTCCTTTTTGTCCATTTGTACATTTTTCTCTACTTGCTGATCAATGCCTCAAAAATACTGGAGATCATCCAGACAGTTTGGTTAGACTCATACTGTGCAGTAATAAGTTGATATTCACAAAACAATGTGATGTCTTAGACTTTCGCATCAAAGCAGCAGCACCTTTTTGGTGCCGTCCATGTTAGCACAGATCACAGCAGGATAGGTTTCTTGGCTTCACTTTCCACCATTAATATTTGAAGAGGAAACATCTAGAGTGTGATTTGGTAAAAGACAATAAAATAGTTCAGTTTCATCTGCATTAAAAAGAGTCTCTTGATGCATTCAGGATGTGGATGAGATCATTTTGCAGTCAATCATCTATCATAACTGGTACACCCTCACCATACAGAAGACAACGTCTTGCCTTGATTCGGTACAGTGACCAAGCCCTGCAATGAACTCCGTGTGGCAAGCCTTTGCCAGGGTGACTCCACTTTCCTATAGGTTTAGACAGGAGAGGTTCTCTGCTCAAGCCATTTTGAACCACAGCAGCCGAGCTGCTCTGGCATCAGGTCAGGTAGCTATTTTCATCCTTTTCAGAAATTCGGCATGCTTGCTTGTCAAATTTTTCCAAGAAGCAGATCTAATGTCTCAGAATGACTGAAAAACTTTATGGTGGACACTGTCACTCCTTCATACCAGTTTTCCACTTACTGTATCAATTCAATTTCTTTCTATTTGACACAGGTTTAGTCACACTTGCATTTTGCTGTCTAGCATGGCCTAACTCCACTCCAATTGATTGGTGCAGACAATGACAAGTGCACACAAGACAGTTAATCCAGTTACTACTCCAGAACTTCTTTTCATGGACATTCTTCTATTGGATTTCCTATTCAGCTAGCTGGAACAGTTGACAACATTACCATAACTAGAGTTTTGGGCTATCTGGATTTGAATCACCTTAATTCCAGTGCATCTAGCAGGAAAACCTATCATGACAGATTAACAAAATTGAGTGGATGGATAGTTTTAAAACCTTAAGTTTTCATTACCACTTCAAGAACACATGTTTGACTGATGCATGAAAGGACGAAAAGTTTCATAATATGTTTAATACAAGTTTAAGAAGCCAATGGGTTCAGAATCATAGACATTTTCAATGCATAAGATAACTTGGGTCAAAGAAAACACAGTACGCGCAGACATTCTTTTTTCACATCACAATACACATAGTGTATGCCAACATTTTCAATGACAGTCCAAGATGCAGCTTCTCTTAGCAGCATAATTCAAAAAGAATCTTTTGGGGCGGATGCAGTGTAGGACAGTAATTACTACTTTGAAGTTTGCAGTCACCATTCACAGGCTTCACCAATACTAAATGCCAAGAATTCAGAGGAGCTTCATTACATCTCCTGGATAATTGTATGGTGCCATGATAGCACTCAGCCTTCATATTCTAGAAAATTTGCAGATAGTCCATTGCAAACCACAATAAAAGGGAAATACTGCAGAGATCAAAAATAAAACAAGAAATACCAGAAACAGCTGCAGTAGAAAAGTTATTAACATAAATGTCCTAGAATTCCCATTTCAGATCACAGGAAATATTGTGGATGCCAAAAATCTAACGTAAACAGGAAATTTTGAAGATACTGAGACACGGCAGAATGGCTAAAACATAGAGCTAAATAATTAATAATGACCTTAAGGTAAAGTTCACCCCTCCTCATCCACAGGTTCTGATTGATCATGTGCACCATCTTACAGGTTTTGTTTCTTTTTCGGGGTGATGGGGAAAAGGATGCCTCTATTTCAAGCCTACAATATTAATGGTGCTCTGGAAAAGGATGAGCGGAGATACAAATCCAGGGTGTTTCTGTTGCTAGACATCTAGGAGACACGTGGGATCTAGTACATTCAAGTAGATTTACAAATGGCTCACTATCCAAATACTAAACAAGATCAGTGGCAAGATCCTGGTAAAACATGGACCATTTTCCATTTATTGGGATCTTCCTCTCGAGTATGGCAGACATAGGTAACAAAATTCATAATTACTTGCAATATGCAAGCTCAAACTTTGACCAACTGAGGGAAACAGTATCTAAGAACCAAGATATTAGACCTTTGACTATGGTCATGATGTGTTGGACAGCAGTAATCCTCAAGATCCTACATGCTTTGGAGATTTGGATAGCTTACAGTTGGCACTGCAAAGCACAAACAATGATGCCTTCAAATGATCTTCCAAATCCAGATCCTCTAAACCTAACACACTCAGCAGCAAGGTGCTAATTATTCAAAACCAGCTCCACTGGGTAGGAGGTGTCAATTGTACGCAGGATGACCATTCAGGATTTTCCAGGACTGTCCCATATTTCGTTTTTTTTTACCCATTTCATCCTAGAATTCATACGTCACTAAAATCATGTATTTTCACATGCACCAGTCTGTGTTTGCATGTGTTAACTCGAGGACCCCTATGATTTCTGCCATCAGAGGATTGTTAAACTCAGCAGTTATTCTCTCTCCTCACTATGCTACAGTGTCCCAATCTCAGATTTTTCAGCAAAACCCCCACAAGTACAAGCCTGGCAGCAAACTTTCCCACTTTTCACAAGTTGTCAAGTTGTTAACCCTGTTGGTATGCAGGATACCAGACTCCAAAATTAATTGCTCTCTACTGAACTCAGTCCTAGCAGGCAATTCCCAGGAGGCAACACAAACGATTTATGGTATACTCAAAAATCCCTGAAGGGGTCAAATGCCCGAATCAATTCCTGGAAATCCCTGGTCTTGTGACAAACCAAAATGGAGATGCTTTCTCAGAAAGATTGTAATAGACTCAAACTGGGAACGCACAACAGCAGTCAAAGTGTAGGAAGAAGCAGTCAAACCTCCAAGGCATCGACTTGGTTAGGAAGGCAAATGTTGTAAGTAACGAACATACACACATGAAGATTTTGAATCAATGGGAACAACAGTGTCAGTCCAAGATGGTGTTGCCATGAGTGATCTAGTATTGAGGAAGTGTCCAACCTTTCTGCCCAGAAAAGTATACAGATGAGGTAAGATCAGGCCCAAGGTGAGGTCATTGCCTTGTCAATCAAGCTGTTATCACTAGCTTTCAAGACCATGGCAACCAGCCCTCACCAGCCACCATGCAGTCCTTGCCAGAGAGAGGAAGCTGTGCCCACTGCCCACCTCACCATCTCCAGTGTTTGGGCACGCAGTATCAACTGCTGCACAAGGGACAGCACTTTGGCTGAAGAGAAGCATCGGCAACAGGGCGAGGGCAGCAGAGGAGCAGTCAGCAGGGGGACTCTTGGTGAGGAGGAGCATGCATCATTGCTGATGCCCCTGCACCCCCGTCTGCTGGCATCACCCTCCACAAATGCCCAGGAAAAGGGTGGGAAGGGGAGATACTGCATTCAGGATAATCGTTGCACTCGCCCAGTTCTTGATGCTTTTCTTGATGCAATTCTTAATTCTTCACCAATCCAGCGGAGACTGCCAGGTCATCCATTTTAGAGTCCATCAGAATTAAATTATCCTTCAACCCGAGGACAGGAGGGGTGTGTGTGTGTGTGTGTGTGTGTGTGGGTGGGTGGTTTGCAGATCCTCTGGGTTGCTGGACCATTCTCCAAATGAGACAAGCGGCCGTCAGGAAAAGGGCTGAAAGGAAACCCGACCCTCCACCCCCAAACAAATGGGGAGGTCAGCCTCGCCTCCCTTTCAACCGCCGAAACAAAACAAAGAACTGGGGATCTGAAAACAAACAACACACGCTAAAAAAAACGAAACCCACCCACAACTGAGACGCTGGAGAAGCTCAGCTGGTCAAGCAGCATCCGCCGACAGAGAGGATCAACAACCGTAACATTTAGAGTCCAGTGACCTCCCCACATCGCCAGAACATTAAGTGATTCCGGCAACTGTTTCGTGCCGCACTAAAGTTTCCCAAAGAGTTAAACAGATCGGTAAAAACTCACAACTTGCCTGTACAATATCTATCACTTCATCAGTCGGTTGTTTATTTGTTTTCTACCGCCAGCGGATACTGGGGGCGGGGCCACATTCAAACGGAGCCCACGTGACCCCGGGGGCCGCTTCCGATTCGTCGGGACGCCTGACGCCCAACGGACGTTGCGAGCCAAATCCTTTTCTTGAAAACGCGATACTCAGTTTCGACACGCCGCCGGTTAAAATCGACGTCGGTTAAAATCGCCGCCTGATTTCCGGCTTCTTCCCACTTTTTGAGTCCGAAACCCGCAACTCGAGGCCCAAAACATCTTCTAACTTTTCATTGGTTGACGGGGCGAGGCGTCACGTCGCCATTGGTTGAAGATCACGCCAATCATTGACGTAGGCGGGCCACTTGTCCACCAAGGGAGAGGTTGCTGTAGAGATAGTAGGACTGCTGATGCTGGAGAATCTGAGATAACAAGGTGTAGAGCTGGATGAACACAGCAGGCCAAGCAGCATCAGAGGAGCAGGAAGGCTGACGTTTCGGGCCTAGACCTCT